GGTTTTGTCATGCACATCTCAGGAGGGAGGTTGTAAGGTGTTACAATAACTGGCCAACAAGAATACGCACTTCCTGACGCTTGAACGTATGGGGCAAATCCATCAGAGCATAATCCAAGCCTGACATTTCTAGGTTCTGCAGCAAAATCTGGATGTGTCCGATCAAAGTGCTTCCATGCCTCACCATCAGATGGATGTCGCATAGTGCCAGAACTTGTTTGGTTTGTATGATGCCATGTCATTTGACTTGCACTGTGCATTGAAGCAAACATTCTTTTTAACCTTGGTATTATAGGAAGATAAAACATGGATTTTACTGCTACACGCTTTTGCTTGCTGTTAACGGCTCTACTGCGAACTTGATATCTTGGAATATTACAAAACTTACACTCCTCTAACGATCCATCTTGAGTACCAAACTCATTGTCATAAAACAACATGCAACCGTTAATACAACAGTCAATCTTTCTTACTTTTAAACCCAACTTCGACACCCACTTCTTTGCATCATAATAACTTGTAGGCAAATTGTCTTTCGTAGCGGTGGAGTCCAACATCATTTTTGCAAAATGTTCCATACATTGATCAGAAACATTCCAATTTGACTTGGCGGCCAATAATCTCACACACATTGATAGCTTCGAGTCTGACGACCCCTCAAACAACGGCGTATTCATCTCGTTCAATAATTGATAAAATCTTTGCGCTTCCTCATTCGGCAACTCTTCCCCGTCAAAATCTTCAGGTTCATCATATGTCACGTTCACACCAAAAGCATCCTCAACCATGTCACCGATCAAATTAAAGTTCTCCTCATACTCCATAACCGGTCGACTACTTGAAGCATGCGTGTTGCTAGTCTCTGGTACATTAACCGGTAGTTCTTCACCATTATACGTCCAAACCCAATAATTTTCAATGAATCCCCTTCTATGCAGATGACGTGTTACTTCCTCTGGGTCACTAATTATTGGTCTACATTCACATTTAAGACAGGGACACCTAACCCCTCCTTCGCTTTGACAACAATCCTGAGCAAACGCCCACTTAATAAACCCATCAACTCCTACTATAAAATTGGGTTTAAGTCCACTTCTTCCTGGATATGTTCTATCGTACATCCAACTGCGATAATACCGATAATATTCCATACTGCACATTTATACAATCATTGTCTTTTTCATTAGAAATATTAATCAACTTAATAATATTATTCTTAAACTATTTAATACTATTCTTAAAAATATAAATTTTGCTTTTTTATATATATACTAACATATAAATAAATATTCAAATGTAAAATATATAATTTTTTATTACATAACAATAATATCAAAAAACAATAATATAACATATTTACTTTTTATTATATATACAACAATAATATTAGAAAACAAATAATGTAACATATATACTTTTTATTATATATATAACAATAATATTAAAATAATAATATAATATATATATTCTTTTTTTAATTATGTTTTTTATAAATTCTTATTTTAATATATAATTTTTTTCCATATCTTTAATATATAAATAAAAAAATAAAATTATTATAATAAATATATATACATCTATAAAAAATATGTTAATGTTATTAAATTTATGTGTTAACATATATATATATATATATATATATATATATATATATATATATATATATATATATATATATATATATATATATATATATATATATATATATATATATATATATATATATATATATATATATATATATATATATATATATATATATATATATATATATATATATACATCTATAAAAAAAAACTTTTAATTTTATGTTTTCTAAATTTTTTTATTATCAGTACATATATACTACTAACAAAATACATATACTTCCTAACCACAAAATACATATACCACTAATCTATATAATACATATAAAATCTAAAAAAAAATGCATAAATACCTCTATATAATTTCTTCAATAAATTTGCGTCTTCTTGGATAATTCTTGGTGTTCTTCTTCAAATTTCTCTACAAATAATAATGAACAAACGAACAAATACCCTTTTTAATATTTCTTTCCAGTATAATAAATAATGAACAAACGAAATAAACATTTATCAAAATATGAATACCTTATTTTTCTTTAACAATTTGGGATGGAGGAAATTTGATTCGGGAATTTGGGTTTGAGAGGAAGAAGTATGGGTTTGTGAGGAAGAAGAAAGGAAAAGGAAGGAAGAAGAAAGCAACGCTTCTGTAAAAATGAAAATTTTGGAGATGTAACGTCTAGTAGCGACGTGACTGTCACGTCGCAACGTTGCCACGTGATAATCACGTCGCTACAAACTAAACAGAAAAATTATTCTCTCTCCCACTCTGCAACTCTGTCATCAGCCAAATTTATTTTCCGCCCTAAAATATAGCGACGTGGCTATCACGTCGCTACCAAAATTCAAATTTCCCCCTTTCCAACGTTCTCTGATTTGCATTATATGTCATTAAAATATATTAGCGACGTGGTTATCACGTCGCTACTACTCACGTGATAAGCACGTCGCTAATATATGTCGCTGGGGATATATATTTTTGTAGTGGTTAATTTGAAAAGATTATGATATATTTTAGTTATTTCATAAACTTAAAAAATTATCAAATCTCAATTGATTTTGTTTTGTTTTATTAACCTTTTTACAGAAATTGAAATAATTTATTTTAGGTCAAATAAGAATCTAAATAATTACAAAATAATATTTATTCTTACATTTATAGAATGATAAATTAAATATTTAAGATAAACATTAGAGTTCTTATTTACTTTATCTTTTATATATTTATAATATACTTTTTTTGTTAATTTTATTAACAATATATTTATAGTTAACAATACATCCTTTAAACTACGTTATTTTTTTCAAGAATATAAATGTAACCTTTCAAAAAATATACACAAATATATTTAGAAGTCGGTATTTTATTGGTTAAATTATAATTCCATTCAAAATTTATTGATCATAAATTTTTGAAATCAAATCATGCATAAAAATAAAATGTATTAATGTGACCATTCAAAATATTTTCTATATATAATAAAAATAAATAATATTAATACCTCCATTCAAAAGATATATTTGTAAAGTTTTGATTTAATTTTTTCATATCTTTATATATTTTAATATATATAATATTCCTACAATATGAAACAATATCAAACCTATAATATTAAAAGAGAATTCAAAATTTATTGATCATAATCTTTTATGGAATCAAATCATATATAAAAATTAAATATATTTATGTCACCATTCAAAATAATTTCCATATAAGTATAATAAAAATAAATGATAATAACGTCTCCATTCAAAAGATATATTGGTAAAGTATCGAATTAAATTGTACTCCAATATTTAATTAAAAATTGTAATATTTGTTTTTAATATTGTAATATTTGTTGGGCGTGATAAAAAGCCACGCCATAAACTTTTCATGGGAGAAGGCCGGTGACAGCCCTGTCCATCATTGCACTGCCCATCATTGGACACAGTGAGTTTAGGAAGATCATTATTAAATCTGTTTTCACGTGACAAAATCAAATCGCAATCAGTATAATTTCATGTAAAACAATCCGTTATTCAATTTATTAGATTGGTCCCCTACTGATTCAAGTGTGAAATCAATTATCAGCCTCCATATCCATACATATTCCAAAAGAAAACCGATTAAATCAAGAAAATAAATACAAAAATCTCAATTAGATACACATAAATATAATAGTAAGAAAAATAAACAACAAAATTGATGAGAATATACTGCCTTCTTTTATCAAACTTCTTTTATCAAAGATGTGATGGGAGAAATTGAAATTTAAATAGATCAATAATAAATTGAAAGAGGAAGCAAAAGAAATAAGCTTCTATCTATTTGGAGAATCAATCGTAAATATATATGTGTGAGCTTTGTATTCACCAAGACTAAACAAATAAAAAAAGCCAAAACTCAACCTCATATTTTAATTAAAAAAATTAAAAAAATTGAGAAATAAAATAAACAATATCATGTTACGACCACCATTCTTTTATTTCTTTTATAGATCTATAACGGGTGTTGTTGGTTATTGATGTTGTTGAGATTCAGAGGTCTTGGTTGCGACCACCATTCTTACAGGCTTGAACGTCTGAAATAAATAAATTAACAGGTTAGGATGAGAATATTAGATGGTTGAGATTACAACGAAACGAAATTGGCAGCAACAAAGAGAGAAGAATGAAAAGAGATGGAGCAGCGCAGGAAGAAGATGAAATTATGTAAGAAGATGAAATTAAGTTTTCTGATTTGTGTTTTAATAGAGTTGGGTGAATGAGTTATTGGTTGCATCTTGGGAAAAACGATTTCTTTGGTTGTATAGATTTACCGTTTCAAGAACTCAACATTTATGATGGTTGTTCATCTTGTGCTGCCAATTTAAATCTTGCAACAAATTAATAAATCAAATAAATAAAAAATAGTGTAAAATTATGATAGATTGACATGTCAGCAAAATTAAATGCCAAATGAATATGGTAACAGCATAGTGTTGATTAGTCTATTATACCCTTGGAATAAGAAAAGTTATAACATCTAATCAAAAGGTTAGACTTGGAATTTCCAAATACTTTACTTTTAATAGATTGATAATAAATTTGCGAAAAAAATGTTATTATTAAACTTCAGTACGATAGTACTTTGCTTAAAACGCTATTAATATTATACACTAAAATCGTCAAAATGTTATTAATATTATTCATTAAGATAGAACTTTTATTAAATGATATTATTAAATTATTCTATGTTAGCGTTTATATGAAAGCGCTATTATTATTTTCATAATATATTATTAATAAAAAAAACAAAACAAAACACATTTCTATGTTAACGTTTATACAAAATCGCTATTGTTTTATAATATATTATTAATAAAATGAAATAAAATAAAATACTTTTCATTTTGGTGTATAATTTTTGGCCACTCACCACTAAAAATCAAAATGCTCTACAACTCATCGTTTTCCCTTCTCCACTTTCACAACTCACTGTTTTCAACCGATTCTTCATCATCTTCACCGTCATTTTTCGGTAACCCTAAGCCGGACAAGAAGAAGCTCGGAGGAAACACCATTGATTCACCACCGCCAGCCATTGATTCTCCCTCGACAGGCATCAATTCTCCATTGTTTCACCGGAAAGAAAGAACGAACCCAACAACGCACTCTTCTCCATTCGTCGGCCTAGAACTCACGTACTCTTTACCACGATTCAGCGATTCACCACCGGAAAGAGGAAACTATCTGAGATCGTACCAGAGTTAAACTCTTCATTGGAATCTTCGAAGGTAGGTATACAAATTCTTCTTTATTTTGAGTTTTTCCAATATGAAGGATGACCAAAAGCTCAAAAACTAGATAATCAGAAGACGAAGATCGGTCTAATAGGGACATGTTAAGGGATGGTGTGATGACTGATATATAACCTTTACTTACTACTCAAATGTGAAAACAAACATGAGAGGAGCAAGTGTACCCTTATTTATATCGGCAAGAACGAGCAAGCTTACCACTATTTCTATCACCTCTGGTAGTTTAGGACTCTCTGTTGTCGATATATGTTGTGAAGCTTATGAAATCGTCCTGCTGACTTTATCTCTTATTATCTAGACTTGATCAGTAACTATTTAATTTTAGGTCTTGATTTTTTATTCAATCTCACATGTTGTTAGTTAACATCTTATTTTTGTCAAAATCTAGTAACTTTACAGTATATATGAACAAACCTGCAAGTTGTTCTCTGATTTTGATATACGCTTATGAAGTGAACCAATGAAATTTAACAACCGATCTTTTAAATTAATGATTGCTCATCAGAGTTATGTGTTGTAGTAGATTCACTACAAGAAATTTGACATTTACCAACTTTAAAAAACTGTTGGTAAAGGTTAAAAAACTGTTGGTATAAGTCAAAAAACTTATACCAATAAATGTTTGCTTCCGTCAACTATAATTTCCTATATCAGCGGTAGTGTTTCGTTCCTAATATTTTATACCAATCACACTTTTAGGAGTTGGTCAAAATTTTCAGGGTATAGCAACGATTAATTACACTATTTTATAACTTTATCAATCAAATATTTTCGTTGGTATAGAGTGAACTTTGTCGTTGGTATATGTCCTTTTTTTCCAAATATTATTTTCTATAATTAATTTTTTTAATAATCAATATTTTTATATTTTTTTTCTAAATACACCCACAAAATTTAAAGCAACATCAAAGAAAATTTCAATTATATTATTAAAATAGCAAGTCTTACAAACATATCAAAATAACATTAGTTTTTATTCTTTCTCTTTTCCATCTTCATATCTAAGATATCTAAGATGCTATGACAAAGTACATGTTACGACAAAAAAAAAACATAAAAACATATCTAAGATAAAAACATTTTCTATTCTTCCTCTCTTCCATCTTCATCAATGCATGGACTTCGAGAATTTGTCCGGTTTAAAACACTAGAAACATATGTAGCCTATTGAAAATAAAATAAAATAAGTGACAAACTCAACGTAATAAATGTTCTCATAATATTCGAAATATGAACTCGAAGAATAAAATAAAATATACATGTCTTGCAGCTTGTAAAATAACATTCAAATCTTGGGATAATTGATTTTGTATCATTGACATCATATTTGTGATAAACACATTTGTCCTCTCTTGACTTTCTTGCATTTTCTTAAATTCATCTCTCAACTCTTGATTTTCAAACAGAAACGTTAATTTTTTAGGTTTGGAAATATTGCCTATACAACGCACATGTCCTCTCTTTTCAGGTCCTTTTATTTGAGAATAAATGTCATTCCTTCAAGGCATATGTTTTTGCGTCTTTTAGACTGATTGAGAAGTTTCAACCTCATTCTTATGTTTGTTTAGTTCTTCCTGAAATATCATAAAAAAATGGATTAAGACAAAATACAACCGGAGAAGAACTAGATAAGAACACCAATATTTGTCAAACAATAGAGAGAATATTAGCCAAATAAAACTTAAGTTTTTGTCCTATAAACATAACAAAATGATGCTGAAGTAAAAATCACTAGTGCAGGAAATACATTTTACATCGGGCGAAAAGTACTTTTTACATCGGTTCTTGGTCCGATGTAAATCCAAACAATGTAGTAAATCAAAGACATTTTACATCGGGCTATAGCCCGATGTAAAAACTTAACCTATTACATCGGTTAGTTTTTAGAACTGATATAAAAATAATAATAAAAATTAAAAAAAGAAAAATAAAGAACAAGCTTTTACATCGGTTTTCTTAATATACCCGATATAAAAAATTGTTTTTTACATCGGTTTTCTTAATATACCTGATGTAAAATACTTGTTTAATATGCCATATTTAACTAAATCAGGTGCATTCTCGGAATCTATTTATTTGTACCTAATTTTTCATATTTTTCCAACATCACAACCACATTTAACTAAATCAGGTGCATTCTCGGAATTTATTCATTTGCACCTAATTTTTCATATTTTTCCAACATCACACCCACATTTAGATCACCAAATATTTTTCATTGTACCAAATATCTAGGATGCACATATATATTTTTCAAAATGAACCATTAAGTTATAAAAGTATTAATCTAGGATAAGGAAGTGTACAAAATTATAAGGAAGTTTACAAAAGATGGATTACTACAACAACAAAACCAATAAAATTATACAAAAATATCCACACTTGAAATACCAACATGCAATCCACAAGAAGATGAGTTATAACTTCAGTAGACAACATCAAAATCACATCTGCTAACAATTAATAATAACACCAATTAACATCAGCAGACAACACTAAAATAAAAAAACTCAAATCAAATATGTGTAGACAATTCTAAATAACTCACCAGTTTAAACTTAATTTTTATATAACTCAAAGAAATATTTTTCCCAACGGAATCACAAATCATACAAATCATCTTGTGTTAATTCTGTCGAGTCATCAAATACCTACAATGCATAAATAACAATATAGACTTATTCTTTAAAAATTCACATTAAGTTGCAAAACGCAAAGTAACTATAAAAGTAAAGTTTTTTTATTACCTGCATCCAAGAATCAGTTATATTGGCAGAGACAATATCCAACATATTTTTCATCACATAGTATCCACAATCATTAGAGTTATGTTGTCTTCTTGTCTAGACAAACAAATGACATAATTAGTGAAAACTTGACATAAAATTAAATATTGATTTGTAATATACATCACACTTACATTAGGATGAAGCCATGTAGCTTTTTTTCTATTTTCATTTGCCATTTAATGAACCTCAAAAGCACTAATTCAGAAGAAGAAAAAATCCATATAAAGCCACATAAAATAGGAAATTACTTTTATAACAATTTATGTATACGTGATATATAATATAATATAACAAAAGTCACAAAAGACAAACTTACTTTATAACTGTCCTTGAATCTTTATTAAAACCTAGGAAAATAGAAACACTTTAAATTGTTAAGAATTTTTAAACAAAAAAAAATTATATTAAAAACATGTTATGGTGGACCATCATCACATCCTCCAACTTGAACATTTCCTTTTCATCGAAGAAAAAGCTTGAAATTTGAGATTTTTATAGAAAACATGGTAATTTATCTATTTCAATGATTATTTCATAGTTGACACAACTTAGCAGAATAATTCCATGCACCTTCTCAAGTTTTATTTTTATTCTCATACCTCGAGATAGATAATTCAAAAGACTTTAATCATGTTCATGTGTCTTCAAAACTTTCTATCTTCTCACCAATTGAGTCTAATGATGAGTTTACCATAAAATTTAATTATTTTTCATAATCAACATGTTTACAGGTAATTCTTAAGCTATATTAAACTTTTTCTATTATTTTTTATACCCGTTTATTTTTTGTTTTTTTAAGTCTTATAGTTTTTTCTTCTTTCTTTTGTCTATTTTTTCTCTGAAGGGTAACTATTTTCTCGATATCTTTTACGGTCTCTTTCATGAATTTTAATCTTAAGACCACCTCCCCAAATTTTAAACATTGTTATTCTAGAGAAACTCCAAACTCATATTTATGCTATACTACATGTTTTTATTTCTTATACCTAACACCAAATAAATAAAGTATTTACAAGTCAGTTGAGATAAAAACTATTTTATTTGGTCTAAAACAAATAAATGGACTAGGCTCAAGGAAGCTAGCAAATGATATAAAATTACATCATAATAGGGTAGTTTTATGGGGCTTTAGGAACGAAAAAATGCATTAGTGTGTGAATAATGTGACAATTAATGATAAAGAAACAATAAAAAGTTTAGAAAATTTCATTAATACATGAATACACTTATATTAAGAACAAACATAAAACACAATGATCATCGCAGGATTGAAACTTTGTTGGGGGTTAGCATGCAATATAAATCTGGATAACAGTAACAATAATGTTAGACCTAACCTGTCGGAAACGGAGGGACGACGTCGGAGGTGAAGGAAGACGGAGAGACACAGAAGAATGGAGACAGAGACGGAGACGAAAGACGAAAAACGCCACAGAGGAAGACGAATCGCGGTGGAGGACGGAGCAATTTGTTTCGCTTTGGGAGGTGAAAGGGGAGAAAGATGACCGTTCGGAGGAGGAGGGCGGAGGGATAGCGGCGATGAACGTCGGAGGCGGAGGGCGGAGGAAGACGAATCGCGGGTTTCGTGAATCGCGGGAGACAGCGCAAAAAGATGATGGCTGGGTTTCGGAAATAAAAATATGAATAGTTACAATAGGGTTTTGTAAGGTTTACAAGGGTTTTTACATCGGTTGGTTTTGTGGCCCGATGTAAGGGCCAACATTTTACATCGGTTGGGTATATGGCCCGATGTAAGGGCCACTTGTTTTTTTTTTTTAAAACTCTCTTTTCTCTTTTACATCGGTGGGGTTTCTGGCCCGATGTAAGGGCCATTTTTTTTTAAATTCTCTTTTACATCGTGTTTGATTATGGCCCAATGTAAGGGTCACTTTTTTTTAAACAAAAGCGCATCTTATTTACAAAACTGTCACCGTGTTTGTATTATTTTATTATTGAACTTATTACATCGGTGGATATTAAAGGTCTGATGTAAAATGTCTTATAAATATTTTCGTTTTATTTACCAAAATGCCACCGTATTATATTTTTCTCTAAATCATATATTTTTTATATCAGGTGAAATAAAAGTCTGATGTAAAATCTTTTGACAAATATTTTTTACATCATTTATTTTTATACCTAATGTAAGAGTCGTTTCTCAAAT